TTTATATATATAGACACAGTATTTATTATTTTTATGTCTTGCAAACAATTTATTTTATAGATAATAAGTGGTAATAAATTAGTAAAATAATATTAAAATGTTAATATTTAACTGCTTGCACCCTGTTTTGAACAACATCCTTGGACTAATTAATCAGTTTGTATGCTCAGTTGTTTTTCTTTATCATTTTTTTATTTGGATGTGTTTCTAACCATCACAGGAAAATAACCTGTCTTTTAAATAAATTAACATTTTTCTTCTTGTTTTAATTTTACAATTATTTTTTCTTCACTGCAATGCTTTCCACAGCCCATAATTTCTGTTAAAATCAAATAGAATTTTTCAATTACTGAGAATATTTCATTGGACCCTTAAAGTAATCTTATCTTTTATAAATGTCAATAAAGTTTTTTAAACAAAAAGTTATAATCCTTGCTACAAATTAATGTTATAATTCTTTTATTCAACATTTGTACCAAAATTATGTAAAAAATCAATAATTAATTTTTAAGATTAAACAATTTTTATTATAAATAACTATTTTGCTAAATACTATTATTTTGTCCACAACTGTACATTAGCAACATCTAAATATTTTAAATATTCAATAAATATTATGTGATGTTTATTTTGAAATTTAAAATAAAACAAGTTAAAAAATTAAATCTTCTTGATATGGACTTGAAGTAACGTTAGAAAATGTCAAATTATTCTTATACTGTGACTATATACGCTGTGATGATACAAGCATCTTATTCTGTGATGATAGACCCTATGTAACCAAATTAACAGTTTTTGTATTTAAATTTACACAAGTGTTTGATTTAAAACCATTATTTTAATGGTTTAATATATTTTAATTAAAAAAACTGTGGAACTTTGTGTGTGTGTGTTGTGTGTTGTGTGTGTGTGTGTGTGTATGTGTGTGTGAGTTAGTTACATGACTGAAAAGCGTAATGCAAGTAAATGTAACTTTACTCAATATGCATATTTATCGCTAAAAGTTAAATTTCGTCAGTTGCGTATTTCAAGTACTGAATTGTTAATCAATTTGAAATTTAATTTGAAAAATATTTTTCTAAATATCTTGTAATATAAATCTAAATATCTTGTAATTAAATAACATTTTATAAAAAAAATTTCAATAAAATTTCAATATATTATTTAAAAAAATGTATTTCTTTATTTCAAAAAACTTATACCTATTTATTTCTTAAAACATAACAAAACCGTTTTACATTTCATTTATCACAATTTAGTTGCTTTTTTTTTCTATGATCAATTTAAAAACTTCAACTAGTCACTTCTAATCAACGTCCTTTCTATAATCAATTTAAAAACTTCAACTAGTCACTTCTAATCGACGTCCTTTTTATAATCAATTTAAAAACTTCAACTAGTCACTTCTAATCGACGTCCTTTCTATGATCAATTTAAAAACTTCAACTAGTCACTTCTAATCGACCTCCTTTTTATGATCAATTTAAAAACTTCAACTAGTCACTTCTAATTGACGTCATTTTTATGATCAATTTAAAAACTTCAACTAGTCACTTCTAATCGACGTCCTTTCTATGATCAATTTTAAAACTTCAACTAGTCACTTCTAATCGACATCCTTTCTATGATCAATTTAAAAACTTCAACTAGTCACTTCTAATCGACGTCCATTCTATGATCAATCTAAAAACTTATAATGAAAAAAACTATTGCTAAAAAGCGCTATCAAAACTAAAAAAATTATTTTTTCAAAAACTTATTGTATAAAGTTTACAAAAATAATTATTTTAAATAATTTTGCCTCAGGCTTGATTATGGTCTATCCAGAAATACATTTATAAACAATTAAGTGCTTTAAGAACTTTTTTATATTAACACTTTTGTAACGGGATAAAAAAAATTTATTGATTTGAAACTATAAATAAATAAACAAAATAGTTGAATAAAAAATGAACATAAAAAAGTAACTTAAATTTATTTATGAGTTTATTATTATTTAATAATAAACTAAGTTTAAATATAACAAAATAAATTTAGATAATATAAATATAACAAAATAAATTTAAATTAAATATAAATTAAATTAAATATAAATATAACAAAATAAATTTAAATTAAAGTATTTTTAAAAATGAAAAGTAGAAAAAAATTTATTTAATTATCTATTTTTTTATAAAAAAAAAATTATTTCACAATCACTGTGAAAATATTTCAAAAGACTTTTTAAATACTCCAAATGATAAATGTTTTGCCGTAACGTAAATGGCTTAAGAATAGGTAAAATTTTATATGTAAACTACAAACAGTGTATATATATATATATATATATATATATATACATATATATATATATATATATATATATATATATATATATATATATATATATATATATATATATATATATATATATATATATATATATATATATATATATATATAATGTATGTGTGTGCGTGTCTGTGTGTGTATTTGCATGTGTTTAGGAGTATATATACTTACATATATATACATTAATACATAATGTTTTCATAGGTTTGAAGGTTTGAAGTTTGAACATTCAAAATATTAATTTAAACCACCTTTTATGCTGCTCAATAAAACTATTTATTAACGTTACTGTAATTGAGTAGTTATTTTGAGAATTTCTACTTTTTAAGTATTTTTTTAAATGTGTACTTTTACTTTTACTTAAGTATTTTTTTCCTAAAGTATTGTACTTCACTACATTTGAAATCATATGCGTTACTGAGTAAAAAAACTTATTATGTATTGTTTAATTTCACAAATACTATGATTTAATTTTTCTATTTTTTCGATTTTTGCTCATTTTAATAAAATTGACACTTTTAAATTGTTTGAAAAAAAATGTTAAGCACGCTTATAACGACTTTTAACTGCTTTAGCTTGGTTTCTTTTCACTTTTTATGACCGTAAAAAAAGTTTCTGCGCAAAAAAAAAAATTTTATACAGAAAAAAATACACTACGTGATTTTTGTTTTTTTACTTGACAGCTTTTTTATCTGATGGGCTGTTAAAAATGTAACGCAGTAAATTTTACTCTGAGTACATTTTTAATAAGCTTCTTCTAACTTGTACTTGAGTAAATTTTTCGGCCGGTAACTTTAACTTGTACTTGAGTAAATTTTCACTCGAGTAACAGTACTTTTACTTGAGTACAATTTTTTTTTTTACTTTTTCCACCTCTGGAATGAATTAAAAAAAAACTAACAGTATTGTTAAAAAAACTAAATTATAAGTATATCTTGCATTTCTAATTATCCTAGTTAGTTATCCTTCTTTAACTATACTATTTAGCTAACAAGATTTATGACAAAAAATTATAACATAGTAAAGATGAAATAATAATTTATAAAATTATATAAAAATAAGTTTATAAATTCAAAATATTATTTTTTTTATTAAATATTATTATTTTTATTAAACAGGCAAACCACAATAATTCCATTTTTATGAGTAAATGTAGAGAAACAATCTTTCTAAATAGTATACAAAATTGCAATCTTGCAATCTAACTACAATAAAAATTTTGTTCAAAAAAAGTCATAACATTCATCTTTAAATGACACACCTAAATGAAACATCAATGTGATTTTCTCCAACCGCTCGAACAGCTGCAACAGCACCAAATGGTGGAAAGCGCATACGTAGAAAAGGTTGCGGATGTAGCATGCTGAGAATATAAAAAAATAACTGCTCTGCAGCACTGGAGGGCTCCGTTGGTAAATAATTATAACTTTGCAAATGAATGACTAAAAAATGATTTTAATTTTATAAATAGCAATAATAAAAATTAGCTATACATTGTTATTATTAAAATAGTGTGTTAAAAAGCTAATAGTCTTTGTGAAACAGTGTTTTAAAAAGTTAACAGATAAATAATATTATAAACAAAAATAATATTGTAAACAAAAATAATATTGTAAACAAAAATAATATTGCAAACAAAAATATTATTGTAAACAAAAAATAATATTGTAAACAAAAATATTATTGTAAACAAAAAGAAATTTGTAAAATAAGTACAAACAAATTTTATTTAAGTTCTTTTTTTATTATTTTTTTACTTTCCATTTTCGTATTAATTAAAAACAATTTTTTTTCTTTTAACTTGAAATTTTCTTTTATCGTTTTTGTTTACTATTTTTAATATCTCGACCAATTTTTTTAAAGAATCAAAAATTCAAGTATTTTACATAATTTATGCAAGATCCAAAACAATATTACACAAAACAATTTCACTTGTCTTATATGAGATATTTTATTTTGCTTATGTATTGAAAGAGTTTTGATAAAATATTGTAAAACAGATATGATGATAAAATATTAAAGTAAACTGAGAAAAAAGTTAAACATATTGAATAATAATAAACTAAAAAGAGTGCTATAAATGTCTATAATATTATTTATTGAATTTGTAAAATCAATTTTTATAGTTGTTTTTTAATATTCAAACATTTCTATTTTAACAATGACACCTTTAACTAAAAAATCCTCTTTTTTTCAAACATCTACTTTTTTGAATTCTCTTGTTTGTAGTGCTTTACTGATTAATATGTCATCTTTGTATCACCCAAACATTTTTTTTTGGGTGATACATTATAAAAAAAATTTATTTAGTCAAGTTGACTGTTAGATGAAAAAGTTTAATTATTGAAAAGTTTGAACTATTTATTAATTATACTATGTAACAAATTTTTATTTTTATCTTGACCTTGTGTTTAAATTGTGTTTTCATAACCTGTTTTAAAAACAAATAGAAAACAGCTGCTGCTACACAAAATTTTTGTGACTGGTACAATGATATTTTGAAACTTGTTTTTTTTTAAAAAGGTTCTTAATTTGCATTGAATACTGAGTATTCTTCTAGATTATTCCTGAACTGCTAGAACTCAGAAGATTCAAAATTTTCAGGAATATTCTAGTTTTTAAAACCTTTAGAATCTTTAAGAAACTTCCATAATTTTTTAGAACATTCTTAAACTGTCCAAAAGTAGTCATACATATATAAAAATACAGATGACTTGAACCAACATTGCAGATCATGTTACTGGTGGAAAAAAAATTTAACTGTATATGAATAGCAATTATTTGATTTAAATGGCATTAAGAAGTTACTTGCACCTAGCTGATGCATTTTACTATCAGTCTGGAAAATTTGTAAATATAAGATCAAAAAATTATTCCCTAGAAGCAAATTGTAAAATTTGCCAGGCCTACAAGGCATATTTTAGCATGCCTGTTGGGGATCAGGACAAGCGCATTGCATTTCACACACAAATATCAGAAGTGAACTCTTGAAATTAAGTAGATCAAGTGCTTCTTGCTTAGAGGTATTTTGTAAAAATTTAATAATATAAATATATGCAGTTCAATTTAAGAAACTGCAATTGAGTTTCCATATACCTGAAGGAAGGTATTAGAGATACAAATTACAGTTTTGCAGGTGCTGTTGAACAGAGGAGGCCATGTTACCTTAAGTAGAGAGATGTCAACAACCTGATCAAAGAATTAAGTCTTACTAAGCTTCTGATATTCAGGCTCAATCAGTGGGTCTTATTGGATAAAAATCAGCAAGTAACAGACCAGAGGCAGCATCGTTAATTATCTTCCAACTTTTTCAGTCAGATAGATGGACTGTGTTTCTGCAATGATGTGGCAGATCTTTTCAAAGCTATTAATATCAAATGTAAGCTGAGTGAATGATGCCTATTTATTTTAAACTTCATCCCATTTTTACATCCTAGAATTATTTCAAAACGAAAAATACTTATTTCACATCAGGGGAGGTCATCAGAGACATCTCTGATGAACTCCTATCTGTAGGTTTCATTCAAAAAGGTTTCATTTCTCATAGACCCTCAAGATTGCTTCATAAAATTCCACTATCACAGTTCTATCTGTTGAAAGAAAATTAGAAAGTGCTTATGCCATAACTGCACATCAAATTAAAGTTTCTGTTAAATGATCAGGTCTGTGAATTATCAAAAGATGAAAAAAATAAAAAATAATATAAATTGATGAGACAGTTAAAATTAACTGTCTTATCAAGCAATTTTTCACTGCTCTTGACAAGGAGTCGGTACTTTTTAAGCACCTCCAAAATCTTTTTCTGAAACTGTCTAAGATTAAGGTTAGAATCAAGAAAATCATAGAATGTCACAAGTTTACCAAGCTCTTGAACAGGAAGGAGAAAGTTGTTTGGAATATATTTTTTGCAGTTGTTCATTGCTTCCAGAGTAATCAGAAGGCTGAAACTAAGTTTAGTTCAAAATCTCATAAAGAATTATGCCAATGAGATCTTATAAAGTATTATACTAAAGAGATACAAAACACCACTTAAAGTTTATATCTTCAACACTCTTTATTTCAAGGAGAAGCATGGGGAGCAAAGTGAGCACCTTCATCAAGATATATTGTGCTTGAATGTTGTTATCAAGAACAGTATAATGAAAATATGACAGGGACACTAATTTTCCTTATTCTGTTTGTTTAAATAAAAATGATTTTTTTTTGTGCTGTGGTCATAAATCAACGTTTGTGCTCAATACAGCCATTTTTCTGAAATCTTTAGGTTTAAGCAAATTAAATTTAAATGAAAAAAAACACTTTGAACCCAAAAACAAAAGCTGCCTAACATATTTTTTTTTTCATTGTACTGTGGGAGACAACTAAAACATAATCTTGCGTAGATGTAGATTGTATCCAGCTACTGTTTTGTAGAAGGGCTCCAAGGTGAAGACTTTTTTCCTTTCAAATATTTTTCAATCAGTCTTATTATTTTAAAAGGTCTTTGAGCCTCTAATTACCTAAATTCTATTATTTCATCTAACTAAAACAACTTTCTGACTGATGATTTGTCAACTATAATAATAGAAACTTTTTGTTGTTAAATGGATAAAATGAGGCCATTACTTTCGCAACTATGATTTACATATCATTAGCTTTTGATAAAATTTGGTATGCTGATCTTTTCCATATCTCTCTTTAAATGGTAAAAGATTGAAAATATTTTAGAATCTTCATTTCCTACAAGTTTTTTAAGTCCTCTGTCTACTATTATCTTGCTTCTTAACTTTCTTCTTAACTTTCTTCTTAACTATCTTCTTTACTTTCTTCTTTAATTTCTTCTTAACTATCATTTTAACTATCTTCTTAACTATCTTCTTAACTATCTTCTTTAGTTCCTAGTAACATCAACTTAAATGGTGGTTATCTGTAGCCTTGTTTAAAGTGAATTTATATATTATTAAACAAAAGAAAGCGCAAAAGGTCTTTTAGAAAAAATAATATAGTCAATGCGAGGCTAAAAAAGATACAAAATATGTAAACACAGCGTTTAAAATAACGGCCGGTCAACGATCAATGACTGCCCATAATGAGTAAAATTGCTATTTTGACCTCCCAAAATGAATTCTTGCCAGTCATGGTTGACCGGTTAAAAAATAATCAGAGTTTTGAAAAACAAGATTTGAAAATTAATCAGATTATCATTTGGAAAAAGCATGTACTAAATTATCATATAATCATTAAAATTTGGAAAAAATTTATCAGTTTATCAAACTTCCTTTAAGAAGTAAAATGAAAATCTGCACGCTTAATTTTAAACTATTGACATTGGCAAAAAAAAATTTTAATGTTCAATATTTGCAAGTTTAAAAAAGGAATACTAATTTGTTAATTATCAAAAATTAAGTTATTTTTGTATTTATAAAGTTTAGTCATGAAGAACTATTACAAAGATTAAAATGAAAACAAAGAAATTAATAAAAATATTGACCATACAAAAAAAAAAACAGTTGACCGTCAATTCCAAGGGTTAGCTGGTCAAATTGACTGCTCGCTTTCGATTTCTTATTTTACACGCTGAAACATATAATTATTTATAACAATTAGCATTACCTAGTAGTTTATTTACAGAAATACTTATAGGAATACTAAAAAAAATTTTTTGTTTTGTTTTAGCTTCTAATAAAAACTAGTTTAAAACATTAGCAAATGTTTGAAAACCATTGTGATTGGTGGTTATTTCCACTTTGTTATATAAAACAAAAGCATTTAGCTGTTGTAGATAGTTTTTTCACAAAACCACATACTTTTGTTGAAGTAAATTAAAATAATTTAAATAAATTAAGATAAATTAAGATAAGAACAAATGTTTTAGATGCAGATACAACATTTAAAACGTTTCTACAATAATAATAGAATCAATATAATGTTAAGTTAAACAAAACACTGTTAACATAATGTAATAAAAAACCATTTTAAAAAAATCAAACATATAAATTATACTAGTTCCAAGATTTATTAAAGTAATTTACCAATAATAATAACCTAAATAAGATTATTAAAAACTAAATGTAATGCATAGTAAAATATAAATGTTACCAGTTTGTCCCATAGCAATAGGTAGAAGTTCCCAGATATACCCAACTTCAAATTTTTTTGGAATAAAAACATCACTAAATTTATGAACAGAAAAGTTGGCTTGTTTCAAATTTGGAGAATCCCAAGCTATTAACGATTGAAAATATAGAAATGAATCCTAAAAATAAATACATAAAAAATATTTTCATTCTTTTAAAATGTAAAATAAGCACAAAGTATATTAACAATTCCTTATATTGGAAACTTTATTTAAATCAAAAATGTTAGGTATTTTGTTTGATAAGCATCATTACAGATAATCATGCTTTGTGAATTTAAAGAATTCTTGAGCCTTTAGACCAATTCCATTTAAAAGGGTTAACTTAATTCGGTTTAAATTTTTTTGAAAAAATGCCTTCATCTACAATAGATCTTGGCTCTAATCTGTTCTAGTAAACATTAATTGAATATAATTATCAACATTTCTATCAATTTTCACAAAAAAAATTAGAGTTCCAACCAAGAAAGTGCTTATAATTAAGAAAAATTTCGCCAATAAACGATCAGAACAGATCATATTATTAAACTGTGTTTATTTTACCTAAAAAATGTATTTATTTAAAATCTTTTTCAATTTTGGACAAGCAATTGTGATTTTAAGATTTATTTTTTTTAAAAAAAACCTTAGGTCTGGGTTTTTTTGCAACAAACATTTTTATTTTATGTAACTGCATTTTTATTTTTTTCATCTTTTGATAATTCACAGACCAGATCATTTAACAGAAATATGTCATAGTCAGCAAAATATTATACAGATGCTATAATTATTTAAAATCACCTTAACTACATTAAGTAAGTAAATCTGGCACTGGGTACAAATTTTTGCATTGGACAAATTGAAATCCCTACTAAACATCATTAGACTTTGTGTGTTAATTGTCGCTTCTTTTTAGTGTAGATAATAATATGATTAATAAATGCTGTGCTATTGGTTGTACCTCATTGGTTGTACATTGGTTGGCTGTGCTATTGGTTGTACCAGTTACATTAATGGTGAAGTGTCAGTTTGAAAAAGATTATTTATAGTGAGAGAACAATCCAAATAAAAAAATAAATAAAAAAAATTTATATTTTTGAAAATGAAATTAATGCTGTTAAAGATAAACAAGAATCTAAGAAATAAGATTTTGATCGCTTGTCTTTATTAGATGATTCTCACAAAATTGTTATATCGTTGGTTTTATTGTTAAAAAATTAATAATGAAGTTTGAAAAATGTTGCAAACTGCTTTTTACTTGACATTGTTAACAAGAGTTAACTGATTGAATTATTTAAATAAATTGTCCAGAGTTATTATCTTAATGATTTTTTGTTTCAGGATTTACAGAAAAAAGAGAAAAATGAACGACATTTTAAAACCGCTTGTTTTTCAACCATTTGTAGTTGCACACTAATTTTTTTTGACAATAAGTATTTAAAAAAACTTATGTATGATTTTTCATAACACATTCTAAATTTTAGATAAGATTCATTTGAGTACAATCGCTAGAATAAAACTCTTTTTTCTCATAATTTACAAAGCATTTTATCAACTTTTTTATTACCACTTTTAGAATATATCTGTGAAAGTTTCGCTAGTTCACATATTTGATTAATTAAAGTTAGTTCTTAGCAGTAGAGAAGATTATAAACCATTTTTATGTTCAAATTGTTCAAATTGTGGAGAAGAAACCATACACTATGTTATTTCTAATACTTATTTTTGTAACACCAGAAAAAGAGTCAGTGGTTCCATTATTGCACTTAAAAAAAAAACATAAAGAAAAATGAAAATACTTTGCTTCACATTTTTAACCAGTTTGTTTGAATTGTTTGATTAGAAAAAATTCAAAGTGTTTGAATTTTTTCTAATTAAACACTTTCAAAGTTTTGAAAGTTGCAAAATTTCTACTGACTTCTACTTCTATCTAACTCATATCTAAGTTAAACTAGTTAAACATTTAATATATCTTAAAGAAATGGGTTAGATTAGATGAGAAGGATATTACCTTTTTCGCATATATTTTTATATAATATTTTTAAATAATAATTCACATAATATTTTGAAAACAAAAAACCTACTTCATAGCAAATATAATAAGAGGTAAAACCGACAACAGAACGTTTATTAAACGTAATAATTATCTACAACTTAAAAAAAATTGAAGTAAACAAAGTTTAGTAGAGATTTCACTTTAGCTAATGCAAAAAATTTTATCCATTGCCAGATTTACTTAAAATTTATAGCGCAATAGTTAAAATGTTTTGAGAAAGTTTGTCCATTCGACAGAATATACAATTTTAAAATTAAATTTTTGTTTTTTTTTCAATTTAAGTAGAATAGAAGGCCTTGTATTTAACTAGGCCAATCAGAAATTGAAGCATGTCACACATGTCACTTAAGAAAAAAAACAACTAATTTAAAGATTAAGCACAAAGAAATCGTGGTAAAGATACTTCTTCAAATCTGGGGACTAGGAATGGCGACTAGGAAATTTTCAAACAAACAATTATGCAATAAGCACTTGCATACAAATTTTAATATTTAAAAAAAAAAAATTAAATCTTCATTTAACTGTTTAAGTTCTCCATCAAACCTTGAAAAAAGTAGAGAATAATGCTGATTTAACATGAATTTAACCTGTCTGCATGCCACTAGTTAGGCATAAGTCACTACTTAGGCATTTCTGCTATTAATTAGCCAGGTATTTTCTAGCAATAGCAACTGTTATTTTATTTTATAAATAATTACTTTCTTACCTTATTGTAATAATAATTCACATTAGCAACTTATATTCTATATATTACATTTTTTATTAATATTAAATGATTTATATTACTAATTTATTATTTAGTTGTGTTTAAAATAATTTAAGAAACAACTATTATTTGAAATAATAAAAAGAAATTAGGTTTAAACAAAATTCTTACTTGATTGAAATCCTCTTTAAACTTTCTCAATGTCTTTAGCTGAAGAGGAAGAAGGCTAGATTGAAGACTGAGGATCTCAACATCCGGTTTAATAGTTTCTTGCAAATACTTTCTAAAATTGTTTTTACCAGCCTAAAAAATATATTGCCAAATTATTGAAAACATATGCTGAAAAATTTCTTACAAAGTAAGATTTTATTTTTATTTTCTACACAAAACATATATAATACTTAAATTTAAAATTAATTAATATATTTTTATAAATATTTGATGAAAAATAACTACACATGAGGACAACAATATAATTTCAATATGAAAATGCATTATTCATTAATAAAACTATGTTAAATTAATGTGTGTGTGTATATATATATATATATATATATATATATATATATATATATATATATATATATATATATATATATATATATATATATATATATATATATATATATATACATATATATATATATATATATATATATATATATATATATATATATATATATATATATATATATATATATATATATATATATATATATATACTTAAAAATACTTACATTTTTTTGTTTGAATTTAAATATCTCCATAGAATAAAAAGCATTTTGAAATTCAAATATTGATAAAACACCATTTCCATCTTTGTCAAAGTTTTCAAACGTTTTTATTACTATAGGATCAATAAAATTATTATAAAAAATCTCTTTTTTTAATTCTGGTCCAACTTTATAATAAAACACCGCTAAGCCTATGCTCACTGGAATAATGAAAAATACTGTTAACTTAAAATATCTAATATAGTAGTTTTCTTCTTTTGAAAATGCATGGTCATTTTCAGTAAGATTTTTCTTTATCATTCTCAATTTTGTCTTGAAATTATAATAAAATCTCTTTCATTTTTGTAAGGATATTATGGATCCACGATAGAAATTTTGAATCTAAAAAATTTTAGTTAAAACAACAAGCAAATTGATAACATGCATTTTATGCTTTCATGTCAAATGTTAAATAGTTAGTTATGAAATGCTTAAATCATTTTGCATTCATTAATTCCGGAATAACCAATATTTTTAATGGAAGTTTTAAAATTTAAAACTAATTTAGTGAATATATATATTAAAGGCAGTATTAGGCTAATTCATTTTAAATATCTGACTTAAATTTTTTTTTTTTGAATTATTATTCCGTAAATTAGCGCAATTAAATAAAATAAGATCGTTGCGAGGTTACTCCTCATTTGAATAATTTTTTAAAAATGGTCAATGGACCTTTCCCATAAATCGGCAAATGCGCAATGCATTGTGGTAGTTGTATTCATTTAAATCAAAAAATTAGGAATTAAATATTATTATAATGATGAGTTCTTTTAATGCTAACTTAGAAAATAAAATTGATGCTAGTTCTTTTCAGAACTCTTGCCAGGCATCTAAAGCTGTGTATCGGGAACTTAAGCATGATGAACTTATTTCTGTTGACGAAGAAGAATCTATAAACAAGAGTATATCAACTTGGTCAAGAGACATTTCACTTTTACCAAATATATCTCACAATTTTATCAAGAATTATCTTGTTAATGATACTATATATATATTGATAATTGTAAAAAAGGAGCCAATAAACACCAAACTCTTGGCTATCGTTTATTTAAAGAAAACTATGTCAAAAATGTATGTGTTAAAGCAAATGTAACAGCATCCATAAATTTGTTTATTGTAAAGTCTAATGCTGCTTCTATGAAACGTAAACAATACAAAGTTCTTGTTTCTAATTCTTTTTCCAAAGTAAGTTGAAAATCGCCTTCAAGAAATGGTGGTATGTTGAGACTTATTCCTTTTGGTAAGTCATTTATGATATTGAAACCTCTATCTGCCATCAGGCTATCACCTTTTTCTAATAATTTTAGTATGCCACAGTGATTTGTTATCTGTTTATCGCTTGATCTTCCTGCATACAAATCAGAAACAAATGTAATGGCACCACTCGGTGCAATACCAATCAAACCTTTTGCTGTGTGATGATGTTTATATTTTGAGAACATTGCTGATTGAGTGCGATAGCTAGTTGGCATCACAGTAAATATTTCTGTACAGTCTATAATTACACGAGTATTAGGGTATACATCTTTAAAGCAACTAGGCATTGTTTCATTAACTAGTTTTTTTGTTGGCTATATTGGAATTGATCTAAATTTTATGTGCAAAAAATCATACCAAGTAATTATTATCCTACTGGTAGTGCTCGATGAAATATTAAACCGTATTGCTAAATCTTCTATAGGAAAGGCGCAACGTAGTCGAATTAGCACCATAAAAAATTCCTCTTCAACATTTAATATATGTGATCTTCCTTTTGTTTTAGATGAAGAAGTTTCAGATAAATTGTCAGCAATAGTAGACATTGAACCCCAATAATTTAGTCAATATATTTATGGTTCTAAAAACTTCATGACTACTTTAAATAGTTCAAAATTTTCAAAACCTGTGTAAAATTTGAAATGTTCTTTGTTATGTTTAAACCTTTTAACTGTAAATTGTGATAGAAGTATTTTGTCATTGAGCTTACGTATAGCTTCTTTTTGAGTGTTTACTAACGCTTGTTTTTCTTTTATAATGTCCTCAATTTGATCTTTTAGAATTTTATTTTCTTGTTTTAATTTTTCATTGTAGCTTAAAACAGGTGTCGATAGTTCTTCACTATAAGGTATTTGTGTTGTTTTATGTAATAAGCCAAGGCTATTTTCGGTTTTCCTTGGTACATGAGCAGTTAGTTTAACTGTTTTTCGAATAATTGTTGGAACATTATTCATATAAGTTTTTTTGTTCCCATGAAAGTGTGCTGAACAAACTCTGTGTGAAGAAGAAGGAGTGAAGTCTTTTCTGCTAATTTTGGCTAACCATAACTTTCTTAACACTTTTTCCTTGGGTATAACATAAAATGATTATTTTTTATTACGCTTAGAATTATTAAAACAGTTTAGTACACAACAAGTACATCCACCCTCAGTGAGATCGAATTTTGTTCACTGTTTTCACAAGGTTCAACTTCTCCGTTAAAAGTGAGTTCACCTTCAGTAATTTCACTATCATCTTCACTGTTTTCATAAAGTTCAATTTCACTGTTTTCACAAAGTTCAATCTCACTGTTTTCACATAATTGAACATCACTGTTAAAATTTATTTGGTTTTTCGACATTTGTTTTGATTTAAATAAATACAACTACCACAATGCATTGCGTTTTTGCCGATTTATGGGAAAGGTCCATTAAAATTTTAGATTAGGTTTATTCATTCATGGTCAAAAATAAATTTACGAATTTTTTTTTGACAAAGAGCGGCACACCAGGCCTCTCTGTTATGAAAATACAGTTTTTCAATTTCAGCGTAAGTGAAAATGCCATAGCAGAGAAAGTTCGTGTTTAAAATTGTTCAAATTCTTTACGTCCACTGCATTTTGGGTTAAAGAATTCAATAATCTTACAATACGGTTGGTAAAGAAGTTGCTTCTTTCAGCGCAGTTTCGGACAAGTTGTGCTCTTAGTTCTTTAGTGTGTCCACGAGGCCGAAAACTGTACTTTGAAGATTCCGTGTTAGGTTGAAGTTGAGGGACGTGAAAGTTAACTTTAACAATTTTGGTCATGATTTTATATTGTTCGATAAGGTCTCCTTTTTCTCGTCGTTCAGTTAGTGTTGTCAGGTTAAGGTTTGATAGTCTTTGAGCATACGAAAGATGTTTAAGGGAGGCAATATGTTTTGTGGCTCGGTGTTGAACTTGCTCAAGTTTGGCAATGTCTTGAGATAAAAACGGTGACCAGGCCTGTACTGCGAATTCTATGTGTGGGCGAACGTACGAAATATACAGTGTGCGCCATAATGCAGAACCCCGACCTCGAAAAGCCTTCTTAAGCCTGCCAAGCATTCGGTTGCCAGCTGATGCAGCCGCACAGACTTGTTTTTTAACTTTTAGATCGCTCGTTATAAAAACGCATAGGTCTCATTCAGATGACGTGCATGATAGCTGGTGCAGTTGGCCGTCCAGGTTAATCATTGTATAAATTGCAGTCGATTTTTTTTTGTTGCTGCGCCCGGTGTGCATAACTTTGCACTTTTCGACATTAAATGACATGAGCCATGTGTGCGACCACTTCACTGCTTTGTTGATATCGGCTTGGAGTTTTATGATGTCATGGTTTGATTCTATAGTTCCGATTATTTTACAGTCATCTGCATACATTTTAAAGTGGTGTTGTATTTTGTCCGGCAAATCGTTAATGTAGATAAAGAAAAGGAGTGGTCCAAGAACAGATCCTTGTGGCACACCGCTAGAGACAGTTTTCCAATTAGATTTATTGTTACCAATGGTTACGCGTTGTAGCCGGTAGTTGAACACTCCATATAAAGTTGTCGAACACTCCATATAATTTTAGCTTGTGCAGCAGACGACGGTGCGGAACTTTGTCGAATGCTTTAGCAAAGTCTGTGAATATAATATTGGTTAGGTGACTTTTGCGGGCAGCTTCAGTCAGGATGTCGCAAGTTTCGAGTAAGTTTGTGACGCAACCTTTTCCTTTTCGGAACCCGAGTTGAGCAGAGCTGATGAGTTTATTTTTTTTTTAAGGGACAGAAGTACGTGAGATAGGCCGATAGTTTGAGGGGTTTAACCTGCAGCCTTTTTTGAAAATATATTGTTTTATATTTTATATTGCTTTATATTTCATATTGCTAGTATGTATAAATCTTCAGGTTTATTTTATTTTTTATTTAGTATTTGAAAAAACAAACAAAAAAAATTTTTATTACGGTTTTTATTACACGGTTTTGTAAAAATTAAAAAAAAATTAAAAAAAATTAAAAAAAATAAATAAATAAATAAAATAAAAAAAAATAATAAATTATGTATAAATGTGTATGTGTATCTGTGTATGTATGTATACTGGTATATATATGGGCGTATATGTGCTGTTAGTATGGGTGTGTGTGTGTGTGTGCTTGCAGTCTATGTATATTAAAAAATAAAAAATAAAAAAAAATATTGGGTCATATAACCTCTGGCGTAGGAACAGCCAGAGGTTATATGGCCCAATTAAAAACTAAAACTGCTTGGCAATCGTTAAGCTGGATTAGGATTCGGTGATACCACCTATGATCGCTTGTATGGTAAAGATGCAAATACAATATACACTTAAGAAAAAAAAAAAAAAAAAAAAAACTACATTAGAACAAGAGCTAATTATCAACAAGAATGTCCACCCCACCCTGATTTTATTTTCTACAATTTTAATACAAGAAATGTTCAATTCAATTATTTTTTTTTAATCTATTCGATTTATATTAACATCACTAAAACACTATGACGTCATCAAACACATTAATAAATATACTGAAGTATATTAATTATTTTTAACTATTCTTTGCAACGGTTTATATTACTATTTATCGAAACAGATCCAATTCAAAAGCGAATAAACATTTACAAAAAATCAGTAAAAATGAATTCATTTAAAGCGTTTTGATTCCAGCGGTTCTCTACAAGACCTCAAGGACTTCTTCGAGTTTCCACATTCTTTATTCTTAATTTTTATTGTTATATTTATTGTTATATTTCTATTGTTAACGAAATCTTTATTGTAAATATTATTTATTTGTTTTTTATGTCTTACGTTTTATTCACATAAAGTTATAATAGAAATTGTAATAATGATTGTAATAAAGAATAAACAGGTCCAAAAGTTTTTCTTTGACGGATTCGTATGATGCGAGTGTGGTCGGTTAGTTTATCCTAGTGGAACGAGTGTTGAATGTTTTTTTGTTTTTTGTTTTTTTTAGTTGTTTAGATGCCCCAAGAAGACCTAACGGTCTTGTCACAGAGCACCGCGGATGTGCATTTAACCAGGAAGTTCACGCCTCCTTCCTTACCGTGACGTTGGTATAGACCCTAATGGTTCGAGTTCGAAAACTGATTGAAAATATTCGTTAAGAGTGTTGCAGATTACTGTAGGATCTGTTGTAGTTTGATTATTAGTGGATTATTACTTTAGGAACTGTTGTATTTTGATTATTAGTGGATTATTTTTGGGTCATATCTGCTATTATTTACTAGTTCCATTTCGTAATCCAGAACGGCTGTTTTAACTAAATTT